TGCATTTAATAAGCTTAAGGGAAACACTCTTGTGCCAGGTTCTTTATTCATTGTGCTTTCTTTGCCCCCTTGCTGGATGTAACAGTCAGTAGTTTGCCTGTTACCACCCTCCTCACACAGCACCTTTTAATAATGAGGACCAGGTCTTATCTTACCCTTATTGGCTGTTTCATTATCTTCCTTGTGTTACTGGATTATTGAAGGATGTCTCTTGTTCATATACAGCTGTGTTGCTTGGGAGCAAGAGTTTGCACAGAGAAAACTGAAGAATAAGACAACAAGAATGCACATATGAAGTAAAGTGCATGATTTAATGATCGATGGCTTCATGAACAGTAAGAGTAAGTAGCTGATTAGTTTTAGTAGAATCTGTTGAAGGTCATTGACTGGCCGTTGTGAAACAACTGTTATGCAGAGACATATTTTTAAAAAGTCCTTGCTTTGTCCTGCAATAGGGTCAGTGTGTCGTCGGCCCTGATTATGGTAGCAATTGAGTTAAGCCACAGATCCCGTTTTCCTGGACCCCACCCTGATGACCAGACAGACAGGTTGGGGGGAACGAGGGCCATCTGGGCCTCCATGTTTGAACTACGACAGTGAGCTCCTTAGCCACCCACTCATTTTCCTGTGAGATGATGATAACTGTCTGCTCTGTGTAAACCTATCAAAGCAGATAAAAGACACAGACTCTGCATTTCCATCCCACCGACAGACCACAAAAGAAAGAATCACACTGAATGTATCTTCTTAGTAAGTCACTTATTTAAGTTAAAAAAGTATAAAGCGCCAAATCACAACAACAGTCATCTCAGGGTGTTTTACACCATAAGATAAAGACCCTACAGTACAGACAGAAAGGTAAAACTGTCTTTTAACAGGGAGAAACCTCCAGCAGAACCACAGTCAGGGAGGTGCAACCATCTGCCACGACTGGCTGGGGGGTGAAGGGAAAGAGAAGAGACAGAAGAGAAGCGAAAAGAAAAAAAAGAGCATAGGGAGACAGGACAAAACACAGACTAAGGGAAAGAGATGACAAAAATGTAATGACATGCTGCCATGATATATAAACATGTGGGGAGTGGAGAAGAAGTGTTCAGTCCATCACATCAAGTCTTGCAGCAGTCTGAACCTATAGCAGTGTAACTAAAGGATGGTTCAGGGCCACCTGGTCCAGCCTTAACTATAACCTTTATTAAAAATGAGGAAATTTTTGGGGCTAATCTCAAAACTAGAGAGGGTGTCTGTCTCCTGAATCCTGAAGAGCTGGTTCCACAGGACCGAGGCCTGATAGCTGAAGGCTTGGCCTCCCATTCTACTTTTAGAAACTCTAGGAACCACAAGTAAGCCTGAGAGCTGGCAGTCTTGCTCTCAAACTGCAGGGTTGCTAATTTAAATCCATATTATCAGACAACTCAAAAAAAAAAAAAAAAGAGCAGTTTATCCTGCACCATGTTTTTAGCACCAGTGACTTACAGAGTAAATGTCTGTTGCGTACCTGGGAACAACTTATGAGCAGCATGTTGTCCTCTGCAAGAACAAACAAGTTGAGGAAATTCCACAAGCAGAGCTCTCCAATTAAAAATCTTTTAGTTTTGTGCACACTGGTGTGACGCGCTATCCCAACTGAAAGTGTGAGAGAAACTGAGAAAAGCTGTGGAGGAAACATCTTGTCCTGCTTTCAGACTGGTATCTCTGGGGACTTCTGGTGGGACTTGCAGGTCAATAACGTAACATCGGGCCGATTGTAAATCATTTGGATTAGGAAGCTGTCCAGCGTAGGGCAGGACGGAGTTGCCCTGGCGACTCTAATTTCTCAAAGGTCCATGGGCTCTTCAAAACATCCCCTCACTTGTGGGGGTCTGTGTGTGACTTGAGCGCTCTGCTTAGGACTTCCTGGACTCTTCTTAACCAGAAACATGACCCCATGAACTACTTTAACTGTTGACGCTTTAAAACCTCTGTCATCCTTTGTTAATGACGGAAATGCCTGTTTCAGAATTTATCCCCTCACGGCTGACCTCTGCTCTGCACCATCGAGTTTTCCGTCTTTATTTGTTCACTTTACAGTCATGTACACTAAAGAAAACCAAAAGAAATGTTTTAAAGACAGAACTTTTGCACATCTATGTTATGGTGTCTGCATTTCACTTTTTTTTTTTTTACCATTTAACTGATTTAACCTCAGTAAATTAACAGTTTAATGCACTGAGATCAAAATGGCTGTGTTTGCAATCTCCACCCTTTGCTCACATTTGGGACCTAACGATTTGTCAGATAGCAGTGACAATAGAACTAGTTCATCTGGTTGTGAAGTGTATCGGTGTTGTGTTCAGCTGGATTTTGCTTTACACAGCACCAGAGGGCATACACTGACCCTGCCCACCAGCCATTGTTAGCGGTTTTCTGTGAGAGGAAAAAAGTTGGCTCAAATGTCAAAGGATGGGAATGGCACAGCACCGAATCAAAACAAAGCTCCACACTGAATCCTTTGTCATGCCAGTCTCAGGTCAAACAAGAAAGGCCATGCTGGAGGAGAGAATATGTGGGCAACGAGCGCCAAAACATTTTTGGCATAGCTGTAGTATTTTCCCTTTAAAACATTCCAGTGATTTCGAAATTATAAAAGGCTCCTGCCCCCTCTCCTTTAGCTTCTTTTAGCTTCTTCTAAACACAGGAAGCGAGCGATAATATCACTGTGGGAGAAAGTGAAATGAAATTAGCTAAATTGGGTTACTTGGCTCAAATTACCCAAATCTGGTCAGAAAGGAAACTTTCCCTCCGCCTTTTGCCCCTCTGTCGCTCACACTGCTATTTATTTATAGTACCCGAGGCTTCAGGTGACAGTTGAACATCATTAAACAGCAGTACGTGATGTGTCCTCATTGCTCAGAATAGCTTTTCGGTGAGTTGAGGGATTCTGGTCATTAATTTGTCTTTAGCGAAACTATACTTTCTTTTTTTTAACTATAATCAATTATGTTCCTATTTTTATTTTTTCATTACTAAAAGAAGTATCTGTGCATACATCTGGTCTGCATGTTTTCCAGTAAATCAGAATTAAATTAGTACAAAAAGGAGACCCTGCTCTTAGCCTGTCTCTACTTTCATGTGCACTGACTGAGAAACCAAAGGCGGCTTTGGGGCCGGGGTACAACCCGAAGCGTGCGACCATAGAAAAGTCGTGACTATTTCGCTTAACTCTTTACCTTACCTTCACAGAAGAGTGTACGATAAAGGAAATTAGGGCTGCTGCTTATGATTGTGTTCGTCAATTATTCATTTGATAGCTATCCTGTCAATCATATGTGTTTATTTGTCTAAGAAAATCACAAAAACGTTCCAAAATAAGAAGCTAATGTTTGTCATCTCTACGATTATCAAAATAAATTTCAATTCATCCTCTGACCAGCAAATATAAATATATACAAATACGTATTTCTCTTGCCCCATGATGACCAGCTGTAGATTATTATTCAAAAATATACAACGGTTTTTAATCAGTGAACAGTGATAGGAGGCAATTTGGAACAACCGTCTTATTAAAAATTAAAAATTATTGATCTGTTTTTTGGAAAAACCCAAAAAGTTCAGACAAACCATTTATTAAAGACACGTGGAAGATCTATGACCTTCCTAAAGATGGTCTTGTAGGTAAATCTTGTCCCAGGAGAGGCAAAGGAGGAGAGAGCAGCTTGGGGGTCAGACATGAGAGAAGTTTACTACTATAAACTACTACTACAAACAGGACACATTCCTCTTGTAATTCTGAACATCTGGTACCCATGTTACTTCTTTTTTCTCTCCAGCGTGGGTATTTTGGGTTAGTCAAAATAAGCCATATGTGAAATCTTCACACTGCTTTCCACTCTGGTGATAGCCTGTTATAGCTCTGCCCTGCATTTTCTTAGTTTACCTTGTTTATAGCTATTCTTGGGCATCCACTGCCAGCTCAAAGTTGTTTCGCTTATTTTTGAATGTGTGCTGCAATCTGTGATCACAAAGCTGTGAACGTGTATAGAAATTATTAGCTCTTTATGGTCCTGGCAGGACCATATTTGCCTCCATATTTGGCGCTTGCAAGGACAAAATGATTCATGACGCTGTGATGGAGTGAGCAATGATTTGGAAAAGTCATTTTAATATATTCTCGTGCGATATTTCCACCACTTCTGGTGACTGAGTTGCTACCATAGAAACAAGTATGTGTTGTTTTCCACACTGGAACATGCCAGCGTGAACATCACATCTGGCCTGGTGGGATGGGTTAAAAAGGCAAGCTGTTGCATTTTAGACAGCAGTCTGAGTTATAGCTGCAGGTTAAAAGTCAAGCTGACGGGCCATTTGTGGCTGAGCTTTGGGATACTGTTGACACTGTTGGAAATGAGGGGTCTGAGTGCAAAAACAATCGCACATTTCTTCAAAGAGAATCAGTGAGGCAGTCGGTTTCAGTGACTAGTTTGCTCCTTATTGTTGCACTTCCTCCTATCTAAGATTTCCATGTCAACCTCTGTTTATAAGCATTTGTGTCATTGGAGGAAGTAATTAGTCAAACACTAGTGTCATTCAGCTTGCGTTATTTTTTTAAAGCAGTCATGAGGACATGAGATCCTAAATTTGTGCTTAGTTTCTAAATACAGATTACATAATATGGGGTTTAAATTGAGCCCAGAAAAACGGCTGCATCAGGTCATCTCGTGTGGCATTCAAGTGTTGCTGGTTTACATAACAAGTCTGATGACAGGTCCGGTAATAGGCCGGTACCCTGATAGCAGCATGTTGTGTTATGAAGAAATGTGCTGCCTGAACAATACTGAGACCAAAGAGTGAGAAGGAGATGCACGTCGTCTCCTTCAACAGGATGCCAAATGTCAACACAGGAAGTGAGGTCACGGTATAAGTCTTGAAAACGTTGTCATCAGTTTGCTGATGGCGCCAGAGACTCATAAAGACACTATGAATGAAACGAATGCTTACATTATTTGTTTTTTTCTGTTTCCCAGAACTCTATGAACCTGCCTCCAGACAAAGCCCGGCTCCTCAGACAGTATGACAATGAGAAGAAGTGGGACCTGATCTGCGACCAGGTGAATTTGTGAACTTTGTATCATTAATTAGTAAACCTGCTGTAAGACTACACACACCTGTCCACATTTTGGTGTGGCTGACTGCAGCAACTTACATCACGCCGCTCTTTTGTGTATCTTCAGGAGAGGTTTCAGGTGAAGAATCCTCCTCACACCTACATCCAGAAGCTTCGCGGGTACTTAGATCCTGGAGTAACACGAAAGGTGGGACCGTACAAAAATCATAAAGTAGAACCCGGCTGATTGATGCGTGTCAAAGTCTACTTACAGGTTACACACACAACTTCTGTGACAGCTCTGATGCACCTTCTCCTTATCTCTGCTTGAGGCATTATCAGCTGTTACCAGCTTAAAGTATCAGAAGTTCATTGGTCAGGTTGCAGGGTGTTTGACTTCTCTGGTTCTCCTTTATTCATCCTCTATTTTACAGTTCAGCCTGAAGATGAGGGCAACACTAAACCTGCTGAGTAGGATTATTGTTGTTTTTGAGGAACTGAAAAGTTCTCATGAAAACTGCCTAGAAAGCACAGCTTCAATGTAACCTGTAATAACCAGCATTCGTTGTGTCTTACAGAAGTTTCGCAGGCGTGTGCAGGAATCTACAAAAGTCCTGAGGGAACTGGAGATTTCACTGAGGACAAATCACATTGGGTAATCATGTCTTAGCTTCTATTTTTCTGGTGAATTATGCAGGTCTATTCATCTAAAGCTCAAGGAAACCACATTATTGTTTTGCCCGGTAAAGAATATTCTATTGTGTGTCCCTGCTGCTGCTGCTGCTGCTGCAGGGACCCAGAGCTTTTTCTGGTGCCCAGATTCCCCCCTCCTATTGTTCCAACTGCCAAGCTCTGCAGCTCCACTTCATAGAGCTGGTGCTCATAATGCCCAGATGGTAGCCATTGTATGGCCTTGTCCACTCCCCCATAGAAGGCAGCAGGAAGCTTTGTTGTATGCCAGAGGGACAGGAAGCCCGGCTGACCATTGCTGAGCCCAGTGAAAAGCACAAGAACAAACACAAGGATACATGTATGTTTACAGAAGTCTCGCATAGTAAAGCAAACCACATTTTTGCATTGCAGACTCAAAAGCAGTACATTTTCCTCCTCATCCATCACACACGTGGATGCTATTTTATCGATTCGTAGCCTTCAGTGTTGCAGACATGATCTATGTAATCCGTAGTCATGGAGGTGCTGCAGTGACTTGCCACTTAATCCGTGAACCAAAGTAAAACATACCTTCATTTTTTATGGACTTCATTGAGCCACGTGAATAACTCTTATACAATTTGCCTTCATCAATAAAGGACTTTTTCTTTTTCAATGCAGTTTCCAGAAAGGCTCACAGGCAAAGGAAAAGGAGATCTATTTTCAGAAGACTTTTGTGGGTGGGATTAAGTGTAACAGATGCCGGTTTATTGTGTGTCTGAATCCTCAGCCCTGTCTGGTGTGTTATTCCTGAGATTGCCAAGAAAATCTGAAATAGCAACTGGTTGGAGAGAAGTACAGGGAGGAAAGAGTGAGGGTTCACAGCAACGAGGGAGGGGGGCAGGAAGCTGATGATCAAGCCCACCTCCTCGTCCCCCCTCCTCCCTCCTGGACCCGGTCTAGTTGCTTTGTTCGCTTTCCTCTGCTCCTCTGCTCACCTCTCTTCCTTTTCCCTCTTCCTCCTTCCCTCCGCTGTCAGGGTCCTGATTGGTTTCCTGCCTAACTTGCCATTGGCTGACCAGCAATCTGTCATCACAGCCATCATTTCAAGACTATTTTAAGAACCTTTTACCTCATTCCATCTCCCCCTGGAGTTCCCTCAAAATGTGGGGAGGAGGTAAAGGGGTCTGTGGGGGAGGCAGACTAAATACTGTTGAGTGTCAGGGGTTCTTCCTGAGCCCAGCTCTCTTAGCCATATGCCCTCCACATTCTTTCTCTAGCTGCAATGGGAATTCCTTTGTTTGGAGAAAACTGGAGTGAGGAAAACTGAAGCCTTGCTCTGCTTTACTTTCCATGGAATTTTTTCCACTTTCTTTTAGAGCTATTGAAGAGCCGTCATCCCAAATAATTCTCATTTATTACAACTTTCGTCTCATTTTTTTGTAATTATGTTGCCTATAATAGTTACCGAAGTATCATTACCTGGATATATGGTAGATCTGTATAACTACAAATCAGATGAACAAGTAGCATGATGTGTCCGAAAATTCAGCTGGATGTGAATGAAGCGGAATATGAAAGCTTAAATGCCTCTAAAAACTTCCAGCATTACTTAAATAACAACTATGAAAAGTTCAGCCAAAGTTGAACCAGTGTATGAATAATTTGTTTAAACCTGCCTGCTAGTCTATCCATGATTTACAATTACATTTAAAGCTACAATAAAGAGATCCACTAAAGAATAAATAGCAATAAGAAAAAGAAAGACAATATAAAGAATCTTCCTTTCACTTATGTAATTTATTAATTTATTAGAACAGTTGCTTAAAAACTCATTGATATTCGTTGCGGTTGAGAGAAGTACTGGGGCTCTACATCTAGTTACATTATCACACAGCCTTTCCTTATATACATCTGTACACATCTGTTTTATCAGTTGCTATTGTGATTCCACGTCACACAGTACAATGATAAATGTTCCCTCAGCATTTTAAAGTTCATTCTTCTGTCACGTGCTCTGCTAGCTGTCCTTATTTCAGTTATTATTTGTTCTTTTTATAAATTAAAAAAGAAAAGCAAAACAAAGCAAACCCAAAAGGACAAATAACTGGTATTACAATTGATCAGCAGAAAAGCCAAAACTAGACCTGAGTTGTTCTAAACCAGTTCTTTAAGTACAAAAGGATTTATGAGAAGGCTTCAGAATAAGAAGAATCCTAGTTTTCTTTATGTCTCTCTCTCTCTGTTAGTCGGTAACGGGCTGTCCGAAAGGATAAGGGTGTACTCTGGATCTGGCGCCCCGCTAACCTCTCTCTGCTTTCATGCGTCACAGGTGGGTCAGGGAGTTCCTCAATGATGAAAACAGAGGTCTTGATGTCCTTGTTGAATACCTCTCCTTTGCTCAGTGTGCAGTCATGTAAGTACACACACACACACACACACACACACACACACACACACACACACACACACACACACACACACACCTCTTGACCAAACCTTTCCTTAGGAACTGGGTTGGGCTGTGAATCCAGCTGCTGAGTCTTTTAGAGCCTGTGATATTAGTACATTGCATTCATTGGATGTATTTCCTGTGTCTTGTTGCATACTTTGTAACGTGAATGCATTTCTGGACGGATGCTACCTGGTTGAGTGCTGAGCTATACTTTGGGACAGAATCTGTGTGCTGAGCTTTATCGTGCAGCTTGATGACAGTTCTTGTGATAATGCCTGGCTCTCTACTAAGCTGCCTTGCAAACCTAACCTCCCCCATGCCTCTCATCTACACCCCTGTGCCTCTGTGTTGGCTTCTCTGTTTGTCTATGGCCCAGGTTGGATTTTGAGGGGCTGGAAAATTGGGAGGATAGCTTCTTGGACAAGTCTAAATCTTGGAGCAGGTCCATAGAGGATCTGCACCATACGAACGCCCAACCCTTCTGCAACACTCTGGTGCGCTCTGCCCGCCAGTCTGTTCTTCGGTACGTATTGCTAAGCAAGCTTCCCGCTATTAGCTTCCTCTGTTACTGCCTTGCTCTGCTAACCTTGAATGCTATATTTGCATGCAAGCCCATTGTCTTAGTACTGGTTTGTTAAAAAGTCTCTGACCTTTAGTGCTATCTGTCTCTCTTTGTTAACCGTTCTCCTTCATCTGCCCAGATGTGCATCTGCACTGTCCACAGATGAGATCCAGCTGTGAGCAGCAACATATGTTGGACAGTTGTGATTCTCCTCTTCACCACTGTAGAGACATGACTTAAAGACAGATAGGGTGTAAAGTCTGATCGGAAAAACAGATATTATATAAGGGTGCACAAAAATAGTCCACAAGGACAGACTCTAGACTTATAAATATTATATAAATATATTGTCAGATAAATTACTACTGAACTGTTATTGGTAGAAGGTATAAAAAGTTTTTCCGCCCACATTTGTAACAAAGTATGGAAAAAAAAACATATTCTTGATGTATGGTTATCCCGATCATAAACCTTACCAGAACAGTTACCATGAAATGACTGTGCAATACAGTTACATAATAGCAGTCTGTGAACAGAATTCGGTCTGTTAACAGCAACAAGGAAACCAGGCATTTCCCATAATGCATCTGTAACCTCAAAAGCCATCTAAGTTTTTTTCTGTCAGACCTCATTCTCTGTAATTTTCTCTTTCTGTCTCTCGCTGCGACACACGTAAAACAAAAATCATAGAAAATAGTAGATACACTTCAGAGCTCTGTTTGACTAACAGAATAGAAGCCAGAACATGAATTTCATTGCTGAATTTGCTTTAATGTGCTGAATCTGTTGCAGCTACGGCTCAGTCGCGAATAGCAAAACCATCAAGAACTCCCGCCTCGTGAGTCAAAAGGATGATGTGCATGTGTGCATCATGTGCCTGAGAGCAATCATGAACTACCAGGTACCAGGAACCACCTACGACCCACAATCAGATATGTCTCATAAACTTGGAGCATGATATGCTTCCTGTGCAGTCAAGTGCTGAACCTTTATGCAGGTTTTCTGACCACATCCTCTCTGTCTCTCTGTCTCTCTCCATGCAGTACGGTTTCAATATGGTCATGTCTCATGCACATGCAGTCAATGAAATTGCTCTCAGCTTGAACAATAAGAACCCACGGTAAGAACTCAGGACCCCTCCTCCATAAAAGCAGAGCCGGGCCAAACAAAAGGGGAAACCCTGCAGCCAATTCATACGATATGCTTCTCCGTGGGCCTCTGCTTCTCTCTGAAGTCGAGGATCAGAGGTGTATACACGGGTCGTTAAGGGAATGTTTTCTAAAGGGAGATTTGTGGTAAACCACTGAGACTGATTACTTCATAATAAAGTCTATGAGGGTAAACACGTAAAAACCATGGAAACACCCACCAAAGCTTCAGACATTAATGCAGATTATGACTTTTGAGCCCTGTATGTTAATATCTACACCAATTTTGAGGATGCTTGAATTTTGTGATAGAACATATAAAACTGTACTTTTTAAAAAAATGTAGTTGTATTGATGAAAGTTTGGTGCATTTTCAGGACAAAAGCTTTGGTCCTTGAGCTGCTGGCTGCTGTTTGTCTTGTCCGAGGAGGTCATGAGATCATCCTTTCAGCATTTGACAACTTCAAAGAGGTGCCTATTGCAACTTTTTAATGAATTTTTAACAAGCTCTCAAGTTGTTATGTTCAGGATTAAGTTGTAACATATCGCTGGCCTAGCTATGTCTGAATATACTAATCAAAATTTAAGTAACATCAATATAATTGCCCTAATTTCCCACATCACTGGCGTGCATAAAGGCATAAAGGTCAAGTGTAGCGGGCCGAAAACTGAGAAGCTCTGAGAGATTTTATCTATCTGAGGTTGCAAGCAAAGCTCTATGGTGGCGTGTCTGAGATTATTGGACTCATTAAGACATCAGATGTTAAGTAACCTTGAACAATAATCAGAGGATCACTTCCCAGTGGGAGCCAGTGAACCAGAAAGATTTGCTTAGCCTTTTTGCTTTTTGCTCGTACAGTCACCTAAACTCCGGAACCAGACAAAATGCCTTACAGTCCAAAGCCTCAGCGAGACCCAAGAGCTAATCAACTCTCTAGTGGAAACAACATAGTACTGCTGTTTTTCCAAAATGATGCATTAACACAAAGTGACAGGTGTCTGAGATCTCACAGGGAGAAGGTCACGTTTGCTATTCATTCTATGTTTTTATTCATTTCATTTATTCAACCTTTATTTAACCAGGAATTCTCTTGAGATTAACATCTCTTTGTCAAGGTGGACCTGGCCAAGATCGATAGCAGTTGCTGTTCATTTGCAGAAGTCTTTATGAGAGCTCTGAACTCTCCCAAGAAAAAAAAGCATTCAGCTGTAATGTGCTCTGACTGTTATTCTATGACTGAGGTGCCAAATAAGAGAATGCTGTTCTATAAAGCTCAGAGAAAAATCATAGCAGCTGTACTGGTCGTCAAATTTTAGATCCACAGCTACAGTGTTTGTGTGCAAGGAAAAGGATTTTTATTTCATCAACTTAAGAAACAACGTAAGTCAAACACTGAGATTATGTTGTTTGCAAGTAGAAAAACAGAATAAAAGAAATAGTTGATTTACCCTGATTATGCTTTTGTTGATAGAGCTGTAACACATCAGTGAAAGCAGCAGTTTATCAGATATTTGTTATGTCCACAGCACAACATTATGAAGCCATTGGCTTCATTGATTTTGCTGCATACTTCATGAACACCTCAGCATTGTGGTTTGCTCCAAAGGCATGATTTTTTTTCTTAATTAATAAATAAATAATTTGTAAAGTGTCATGGACAAAAAAAAACATGTAGTATGGTTGATTTTAGGTGATAAATATAGGTAATATTTCCCTAAGGTACCACTTTGACATTCAATAAAAAACGTCCTTTCTCGGGTCTCTTATTTTTTGTCTACATCGGACAAAGTTTTTGTTCTACTTTGTAAACCAGAGAAAAAAATCTTTATTTTGCTTCACCTGGTGTGTTTCAGGTTTGCAAAGAGAAGCATCGCTTCGAGAGACTGATGGATTACTTCCGCAGTGAAGAGGGAAACATTGACTTCATGGTAAGACAAGCGTTTAGTTACATACAGATGTGTCTTTTTTGTGTGAGAGTACATCCATCAGTACAAATAAAAATGTCTGGCTCAAATGCCAAAGGTATTTTTTATTATTATCTGTATAAAGGAAAACACACTTTTATACAAGGTGCAAATGCAAAATCCAGTGGACTATATGTCAGTTTTAAGATAAAATATCCTGATACAGATTATACGTATCAAGTATATAAAGAATATTAATGAGCTGGTGTCTGTTTGCATTTGTTCTCCAGGTTGCTTGCATGCAGTTCATCAACATTGTGGTCCACTCAGTTGAAGACATGAACTTCAGAGTGCATCTGCAGTATGAATTCACCAAACTGGGACTAGATGACTTCCTGGAGGTAAAGAAATAATGTTGTGCTTAAACTGGGCCAATCGCTCTCATTGTCCACGTGGAGACTATTCGCGGAGTGTCACTAATGTTGAATTTATTCTCTCTCGTGCCAGAAATCTAAACACACGGAGAGCGACAAGCTGTCGGTTCAGATCCAGGCTTACCTTGATAACGTATTTGATGTGGGTGGCCTGCTAGAAGATGCCGAAACCAAGAATGCAGCGCTGGAGAAGGTGGAGGAACTGGAGGAGCACCTGTCCCACGTAAGTGCACCACCCAGTCTGGACCACCAACACTGCTCTCTATACACATTTATGAGATTGTTGTGGTTCACCAGCTATGTACTTAAGTTGGCTGTTTCTACATGGCAATTAGAAATCTACTCGGTGTTTGCACTTCACAAGTGGTTCAGGATAATAATTGGGTGGGGAATGCTGGAAAATGGAGTGCGTGAAACAATCTTATTATTGTTCTCGTGTTGGCTCGGTCTTTCTGGGCTATTGCCTTTGTATCCCACGCTGCTTTGCAAAGACCTTCTTCACATGGAAAGGTCGTAGGCAGCCCCTGACATCATTCTTGGAATTTGAAAACAAACTCTGCTCTCAGAGGTCAGAAATGATGGGGGAGGAAGAGGGTGAAGATTCTCTCTGAATTCCTTAGCAAAGATGTGTAATGTAAAATCAAAACTGAGAGCTGTGTCATGTTATTGCTGCATCATGCTGCTCGCTGTATCTTATTTCTTAGTGATGATGCAGTGTATGGGGAGGAGGGATGGGGAAGTGGAGCTGGGAAAGATGCCCACTGTGTGGATCAATTCTTTCCTTCTCTCATCTCAGTGTTGCTCCATCTTCTCTTCTAGGTGACTGAGAAGCTTCTGGAGGTTGAGAATGAAACAATGATGAAAGTAGCCGATCTGGAGAAGCTGCTCATTCAGAAAGACAAGGAGCTGAACGTAATACGGGTAAGCCACAGTCCTATCGACGTGATATTTCTTGCTCTCCTCGCATCATAAAGGCTTCAGATTCCGTGCCTGTTAGCAGAGATCAGGTTCATATGCTTGTGGCTAAATTGCTGTATTAGCAAATTAGGTCACAAAGAGACAGGATGTTTGTTTAGCTTGTGGAGTCACTGTGCATTATGCTCTTTATCACCCCCTGGTGACTGCTCAGGAGACATACGAGTCAACCAGCACTCAGGTTAACACCCTGAGGAGGATGATCAAGGAGAAGGATGCTGCATTTCAGAGGCACTTCAACATTGAGAAGCGTCTGCTGGAGCTCGAACAGCAGGGCACCATCCGCTTGCACAAGAAACCTGATGGAGACATCGCCATCGAGCCGCTGGGCGTCGGCAGTGCCGGGATACCCTTGGGAAACATCGGAAAGCTGTCTTTGGGTTCAACGGCAGGGCTGACAGAACTAGGAGGACCCGACACAAGTTTACCACCAGCCAGCGAAGCACCTCCGCCTCCACCGCCTCCTCCCCCTCCCCCTCCCCTGCCATCTGCTTCAGGTGATGACAACACTGTGACTCGCAGTCTAGTGATTCATGTATATGTATGTGAAAGTTGACTTTCTCATCTGTGGACCCTCAGAGCAGATTTATTTTCAGTTCCCTATATTTGTTCATTCGTGCCAAACCAAGTGATGGGTCACAGCAGTGTTCTTCTAAGCCAGACAGGAAAGGGAAACATAAGGCTGGTTTCCTTTGTCTCCGGAAAGGCCGCACTGACTGTTGGAGCACTTTCCAGCCTTTTATCCAAACTAGACTTTATCAGGTTTCACTAACTTTAAAAATCAGTTTTCAGCGATTGTCAGGCCGAGGTGGCAGCTCACGTAGAACACGAAGCTGTTGCTAAACATGCAATAAAAATACTCTTCTGCATTAATTACAGGACACACTGCGCCAGTCCCACCACCACCACCTCCTCCCCTTGCTCCTCCTCTGCCAGAAGCTTCCCCCTCTGTCATCTTGAGCGTAGGTCTGTCAGGTGAGCGTGCACACAAAATTAAACTTGGTTGTCTTTGCCTTCGATTTTGATGTTCAAGGTTGACTAGATCAGAGGATTGTGGGTGGCAGGAGGTAGAGTGGATTACTAATCTGAAGGTCGGTAGGTTGATCCCTGGCTCCTCTAGTCTGTGCGCTGAAGTGTCCAGAACTCTAAGATGCATCCGTCGGAGTATAAGTGTGTGAACGATAGGCGAAAATCACTTAGCCATAGAAAAAGATGGTTGTATGAATGTGTGTAAGTGGCTGAATAAAGCTTCGCGTTGAAAAGTGGTATATAAGTACCGTTCATTCTGAATTCAACGAACACTTTCTTCACCACAGCTATCAGGATCAAGAAGCCTATAAAGACCAAGTTCCGTTTGCCTGTGTTTAACTGGACGGCCTTGAAGCCCAATCAGATCAATGGCACAGTCTTCAACGAGATCGATGATGAACGTGTGCTAGAGGTAAATCAAGAAGATAAAACCTCTTTCATGTTAAGATGTAGGTCTTGGTTAATATGTGTCAAATTTGAATTTATGGTAAATTAGTATTAATCTCAGTAAAACTTTTCCATAGTCAAAAGCTCAGGTTTCTCTAGTCTCTTCCAGTTGAGTTCAAACCTTAATAAGAGGAAAAAGTAAAGCAAAACTAAACTTAAATGATAAGAGCAGTGTGTCGCGAAATAACCAGCTTCATACCAACACCATAACACTTATGTGTTCAGGACTTTTAACGTCAATTTAGAGCAAGTAAAAGTTGAGTTGTTATTCACATGCAGGAGCTGGAGCTGGAGAGGTTTGAGGAGCTATTTAAGACGAGAGCCCAGGGTCCAGTTGTGGATCTTTCCTGCACAAAGAGCAAAGTAGCCAATAAGGTGGCAAACAAAGTCACACTTCTGGACGCCAATCGCTCCAAGAACTTAGCCATCACACTGCGAAAGGCTAACAAGACAACAGAAGAGATCTGCAAAGCCATAGAGAAGTATGCACCTGTCTTTTACGTAAACTTTACATACTTACATAATTTTCTGTGGAACAAGTTACAGGTAACGTGTTATCTTCACTCAGGTTTGACCTCAAGGCCTTACCTGTCGACTTTGTGGAGTGCCTGATGCGTTTCCTGCCCACCGAGGCAGAAGTGAAGGTGATGCGTCAGTACGAGCGCGAGCGGCGTCCGCTGGATCAGTTAGCAGAGGAGGATCGCTTCATGTTGTTATTCAGCAAGATCGAGAGGCTGACGCAGAGAATGAACATTATCACCTTTGTTGGAAACTTTGCCGACAACGTGAGCATGCTCACGCCACAGCTCAACGCCATCATTGCTGCTTCTGGCTCAATCAAGTCGGCACCAAAGCTCAAGAGGATGCTTGAAGTGAGATGTGTTTGTTGACTTTCACAGCAGCAGCGTTTGTATTTTTTAATGCATATATTCACTCGGTGCTTTTGGTTTACTCGTAGATCATCTTAGCCCTAGGAAACTACATGAACAGCAGCAAACGAGGCTGCGTTTATGGTTTCAAATTACAAAGCCTTGATCTGGTGAGTAATCAGTAGTGAAGTTTACTGGAATTCCAGTCAGCACAAAAGTGTGCTGCAGAGTTTATTATTAAATTGCTTTTCCTAACAATGTTTTTTACACAGCTTCTGGACACTAAGTCTACAGACAGAAAGATGACATTGCTCCACTACATAGCTCTTATTGTGAAAGAGAAGTACCCTGAACTGACCAACTTCTACAATGAATTGCACTTTGTGGACAAAGCTGCAGCAGGTGAGCGTGCACCAAATATTAAACTCTGTCAGCAACCTCGTGGAGATGCAGTATTTTCACAGAAAGGTCAGGTGTTAACATCTGGATAAAACGCTACGTAATATACTTAAAATATGCTCTGATGTCTGCGTGCAAAGTGTCTCTGGAAAACGTCCTGCTGGATGTTCGAGAGCTGGGGAAAGGCATGGACCTCATCCGGAGAGAGTGCAGTCTCCACGACCACTCAGTCCTGAAAGGTTTTGTCCAGGCTAGTGACTCACAGCTGGACAAGCTACAGAAGGACGCCAAGATGGCAGAGGTATCCGACAGCGTCTTCACCTCCAAAACCTCAAATTATCCGCTGGAACAAATGAAAATGAAACCTTTTTCGTTCATTCATCTCACTGACATCTGATGCGCAGCCACTAACTCGACAGTGTTTACAAACATTCTCTTTCCCAATTCCAGGAAGCCTTTAACAGTGTGGTGAGCTACTTTGGAGAAAGTGCCAAGACGGCTCCACCCTCCGTGTTCTTCCCTGTGTTTGTGCGCTTCATCAAGGCGTACAAGGTGAGGACGCCAAGCAGAAGCTACATCTCTGTAGCTTTCCTCACTTCCTCAGCTGGTCATTTGGGAAGTTCCCTGGTTATCTGTCAGCCTTGCTGAGAGCAGAGCGGGGCAGAGCTTTGGCTGCTTTTGTGGCACAGGACGTGGCGTATACTCCCAGGCCAAATAACAGGAAAGGCCAGCTGGGTCTGACTTTAGAAGCTGCAGCTGTGGTGTTTAGACTCGTCCCCCCCCCTTTACCTCCGGACTGCCTCGCCCTGCCCCAACACACAGCACGCATCCTGAGATTGTTCTCCATCTAGATTTATGGGATCTGCTCAAGGAAATGTGCAACACAAGGATTTCATGTGTCTGTTTGAGTGTGCGCATGTGCTCTAAAGGAACTGTTTAACAAACACTTGTTGCCTCGAGTAATAGAATATAGTTTTCTACAGTTTTTAAGGCCTCTTATTGTCAGACATAGAAGCTTTAATTTAACTTAAGTGAGAGCCCAAATAAACAGAACAGCCAGGAGTTGCCGTAAAGCCACAATACTAAACAAACTAACGAGAAAGAGAAGGTTACAATTTCAAGCCCAAACTTCAAATTAACACGAGAAAAACTGGAAGAAAATGGGCTGAAAATGTTCTGTGTCCCGTAGAGCTTACTGTCAGTCAGTTAAAGACGTTAAAGAAGAAAGAGTATCTTTAAATAATTTGTTGCTAACTGTGAAATCACCTGCTTTTTCTTAGTGGCCTAGGAACAAGTTATCGCTGAGATTCTTTGTGTTCTTGGAGAGAAACTATTGTTTCTGTCATCCACAGCAAATCAGCTCAGATTATCTGGTTTAAAAAAAAACAAAACGAAACACATTGTCAGATTTTGTTCATTTTGATTCAAGTCAGGGAAGCTGTTGCCTTGTTTTTAATATTTCTGCCCAGCTTGGCTGATTTATAATTATCTAAAGTGTCATATTCACCATACTTATTGATCCCTTTGTTTATCTTTCTCCGTATGTCAAACTGTTCATTTAAGCGCGTGCGTGGTCCTGGTCATGTTTAGTAAAGCGTGGCTTTCCTGTTTATGCCCAGCTTTTCAACTGTTTTTTCTTTGCTTCACATGGCCACACAAAAGCACGTTGTTGGATTTATTTCCACTGAAGTTTCTTGTCACAGATGTGTCATCTATTTCTCTTCTCAACAGGATGCAGTGGAAGAAAATGAACAGAGGAAAAAGCAAGAGGAAGCAATGAGAGAAAAGTTACTGGCTCAGGAGGCAAAGCAGCATGACCCTAAGGTGCAGCCCCGCTGGATGAACTCTATCACGTATTTACTCAGTGCTAAATAAAGCTTTTTCGTAGGCCAAGAATCACAGTGAAAACGAACAAATATCCTTTCCACTGGTTCAGGTTCAGGCCCAGAAGAAGAGGCACCAGCAGCAGGAGCTGATCGCAGAGCTGCGCAGGCGGCAAGCCAAAGACCCCCGGCCTGTGTACGAGGGCAAGGATGGCACTATTGAAGACATTATCACAGGTGGGCCAGACAGGACTGTTAAAAGAACCCATGTGCGTGCCAGCAGCCCCGGTGTTCCCAGGCTGAGGATGACTGTGGTCATCGACTGCTCAGCTCCTTTGAAGTGCACCTTGTGCTACGTGCTTCAGACACCAGCACATCTGGAGCACAGCAAATAGCAAGCGTTGTTCCATGCCATGCTGTCTAGTCTGTTAGGGGAAATGCTGCTGGGTATCAAAGTGTGTGTTTTCAGAAAGGCCGGGTCTCAAGAAGTAAATTGAGGTACTAATAATTAGGATCCACGACAGCCTCAAGCAGCTGTTCCTGGAGGGATCATGTTTTTGGCTTTCTATACCTCCATACCTCTTTAATGTCCTCTAATCTGGCACAAAAAAGTCACTTGTACTATAATTTCAAAGATCGCCGTGACCTCATAACAAAATTTTTGCTCAAAACTAAAGTCTAACTATGACAAAATTGGAGGAAAAATGATAAAATGATGACATGTTGTATCCAAAAGATCAAAAGGTTAACTTAGCTGTGATTGAGCAACATTATAATGTTGGGCTAACATACTTTTTTGCCCACTGTTTGAATGTCGTAAGACAGAAGTGGAGATTGGGAGGTAGGTAGGTGCCTGTCTTCACTGCTCGTACTATACCAGTCTGGACAGACGTGGATATAAACTGCAGACGAGCAGAATAGCAGAATATTCTGTTTGCAAAGAGCGGACAGTGATTGGGCAGTGTGCAATTTCGTTTCCTACATTAAATTTTTGGAGATGCCAAAGTTAAATCATCTTGCAACACACCTACGTATTTTAAGCCTTTATTGGGAGAAAACCCTGCATCTACAGCCTCAGCGTAGCACATAACCTAACTGATGTTTTTGTGATGATCATTAATAACTGTCTAAAGTGTAAATAATATGAATGTTGCTTCATTATACTTTAGTGTTAATAATAGGAATAATTGTGTGTCACTACTATCAGAGCTCTAACTGTGTTTTATCCAGTGGACGGCTTTCAGGACATGTCCTTAACCTTATTAAGAACGTTAGGCTTTCACAAGGTTTGCCCCTCCCCCTTAGGGCAGTGTTTCAGGTGTGACATGTTTTCTCTTCCTCCGCCTCCTCCCCCCAGTACTGAAGAGCGTGCCCTTCACGGCCCGCACTGCTAAACGCGGCTCACGTTTCTTCTGTGAAGCCAACCTCTGTGACGACGCCAACTGCTAGCCCTTCCCCTTTAATGCCAAGGTTGACCAGGTTTCTCTCATACGCATTTTGAACCCCCCACCCTCCCTCGCAACCCACTACCACTACCTCCATGTGCATGCAGCATGATTTCTGTCATCCCACCCCACCCTCAACTATGACTACTGATGACTAACTCGTGCCGTCACTGGTTGTTTGTGTTGAGAAGACTCCTATCAGGTGTCTGGTGATAGGAGTCAGCCAAACCTCTTTGCCTGGAGCTGAGAAAGTTGCATTGAGTGTCAATATGTTTGTGTGTAAAATATGTTGACACGCTTGCAGTACAGTCCTGACTGTGATCACGTGTAGGACATCATGCATGACACAGTAGGCTTTTGCGTTATTATGCCATATTTCTTTCAAATTATCCGATACCAACGGACTGAATCTAAAGAGGTTTGGCTAGCAGACTGTTTTATTTTATCAGCACTGCCTTGTTCCATGAGACTAACTTGTTTGGTGTTGGTTTTTCCGGCTAACATGTGACTCTTCTTTCCTCAACCACCACTGTTTATTCTGCCCCCCTCCAGCTGAAAAGAAGATTAATGACAGTATTTCCCACTCCTAGGAGAGGGTAAGAAAGGTAGCCTGGCTGAAAGCCGGCCTGCTTGGCCCTCCAGCTCCTGTGTGCTGCTACAGTGATGTCAGCTGCTTCAGCTAGTGCTTCAGTTGCAAGCAAAGAAACACACACACACACACACACACACACACACACACACACACACAAGTTTTAGAACACTATAAAATTTGCTAGCAAACAACACAAAGTTGAACTTGTAAAAAGAAGAAGTCAGCATAGTATTAAAAAGAAACAACTTACCTGCTTTTAAAACAGCCATTAAAATATGAACTCAGGTGTTTAAGTGTCTACAAAGCCCACCTCAGAAGCAACACCAGTGGCATTTTTCTTTTAGTATTAATGTCAAATTTATTCCTTAGAAATGAGTATCATCCTCACCCCTTCCTGTTACGTGTTGCATGTTGTCCATTGTTTATTTACCTCTCACCAGTCGGCAGCGTCCGCCATGTTTGTCTGTGCTAAATGTCATCTGCGGTGTGCTCAACAGCTATTTGGTCAACAGGCTCTAGAAGAAAACAGAATCAAACTTACGTGAACACAGTCTGTATCCACACTTTTGTTTCCTCTGTGACAGCCATCCTGTTTGGTAATCTGCAAACTCAAGAGCTTGTTGACCACTGTATCGTAACCAGAGTGGTTACTTTGTAACGTCATCATTGTTTAGTGTTACTGATTTGCCAAAATCACCGTCTCAAAGCCTTGAATTTCTCCGTTTTGAAGCACAACTTCTAGCAGTTGAAATACAAGGCTATGGGAATGTGGCATTCCTGCCACATTTGCTAATTTTGTAGCTCTTATGGACAATTTCAGCTTTAACCCAAAGTTTTAACTGCACAAGTGTTTCCAGATTTTCTGGATTTGAAAATTATAACAATAAACACTCAGTTGTCAGTTTATTAGGGAGCTCAAACTAATGCAGACTAACAACAGTCCTGCAATAAAGGCAACTTTTCATAGTTTCATCTTCATTGTAAAAAAGAGGAAATATGGTTTGTGGTGCTGTTTTCATGTACTGCATTATACAGTAAGGTGTTCCTATTTGCTTTTCTTTTTTTAGCTTAACCTCATTTACAGAAATGAGGGAACAACTGATATAAATTAGGTGTACCTAATAAAGTGAGAACTGAGTGTACATCCTCTGCTCTTCTTGCTTAAAAACACTCTTAAGAAATTGAGATGTAAACAGAAGCAAATGTCCAGATTGACCTCTTGGTCGTCTAACATGTGTGTCCCCCTGTCTCTCACCCCCCCTCTCCATGCCTACTCACAGATCTCCGAAACCAGCCTTTCCTGCGAGCGGACGCGTTGATCCGGAGCGGTTGGAAGAGACCCTAAACCACTTATTCGTCACTTATAGTCCCCTCCCTATTGTAACCCTTCCCTTTGTCCCAGTGGCGCATCTCAACCCTGAGGCTGCAGATCACAAAGACTGAAAAGCGAGGACAGGACAAAGCCCTTGTTTTAGCCCGGTAATTTATTTATTTATGGATGCCCTTTTACAACCACTTTAAATGAGCAGGCATGATTACAGAAGCACAACGCGCTACTACTCCTTCGTCACCGCGAGCAGAAGGCTTTCCCTGCTCTGTCGGCACTGACCTTTGGGAGGATGACCAGAGCACAGGTGAGGCCATCTGAGGACTGGAGGAGGAATTGTGCTTTCACTAACAAGTGCCTGCTAGCATGTGGATCTTAATGTGGACATTCCTAAAACCCATTAATATCCGAAGGTTACGCAGTCATAGCAGGATTTAAACTGGGAGGCAGCCAAGATAAATTGCCGACTCTTCTGCTGCTGCTGGGACGCCTGCCTTTAAGACACCTGCAAAAGCCTCCTGCAAATAACAGAGGAGGTGCGATGTTATAACAGACATTCGTGGACTGTTTCGCAGCGTTACGCCAAGTCTTCGAGACGCCTTCAATCAGACTTAATATTGTTTATTTTGATTGTATCTGGGAGCAAAGACCATCACTGTACTGGTTCTTCTTGTCAAGCTAGACAAACCAAATTAATCCAAAGTTTGATGTTCCGCTTAAGAAGTGCCTTTTTGTGTTATTTCTCGTCAGTCAGCCATAATTTGTTTATTTTACATCTTTCATTTGGTAAAGATTGTATTTTTTACCGCCTTGTAATATAACATTAGCCTTATAATCCTGACAACAATATGCAAGTTGAAGGCACAAAAAAAGCTTAAAGGTATGTTAGTTCCTTTTTACCTCTAGTACATCAGAACAGCTGACACGAGAGTCCCCAGAGTTTTGTGCCTTGACCAAGTGGTGGTTAAAAACAGAATATTACGTGCCTTGACAACACTTCCTGTCACACCGTGCGTGACAGTTAGGAGGTGACAGACGCATGAAGGAGACTCCAGGTGGACTACTGTTTCAAAGGCACACTTGCTGTTTGGTTAGCCTGCTCTAAATGTATTATTAACAGATGAAGGATGAAGTGCATTTAAAGCTTCTTTTTCTTATCCGTTTTAATACAGGTTATTCCTCCTAACAGCTTTAGAGACTTGCATGACATTGGCACAAAGGGAGCAATACATCTTAACACTACTTAAATTTGGCTCAAGATTGTATAAAACACTATTCTTGTGTGTACTGAAATCAAAAGAAACATACTTTTTTTTTTAAGAAAAAGCTATTCTTGGGATTGTCTGTTGACTGAAAGACAACACTTCCTGTTTAATAAATATGATGATTTATGTAACAAGACCAAAGACTTTCATTACAATTCAGAAGCCTTTCCAGATTAAGCAACATCCAAACAAGTGCTTTCTACATGTTTGTGTTTTATTTCTTCATTCTTTAATGATAAGTGAGGCTATTTCCTAATGTACTGAAGTATGAAGTAGACTGCTTCTCCTCTCCATCTTTCCAAATGACAGACACGGCCATCGTACATTTCTACTATAAAAATCCATTTAATTCCTTATATCAAAAAGAAATCGAATTATAACAAAACAATCAGAACCACAAACGTGGGTTTTTGCCAGTTAAAGAAATTCTCCAAATGAAATATGATTGTTCCAACTTACATGGCGATTTAACAGAGCAGGATGTTAAAAGCAAATAAGCAAGAAAAAAAAACAGAATTTAAAGAAAAAATGTGATGAATACTGTTAACATTTGAGGACTAAAGCCAGAGTTTCCTCTTGGTTAAGTGTGTCTGTGTGTGTGTGAGCACCATGCAGTGATATGGTAGGTATGGCTGACAAGCTGAGGTGATTAAAAGCAATACGGTGAGCAGTGAGACATACAGCCACACTTCCCAGACTAAAAATCCGGATGGTTAGCAGCAAAGCAAAGGAATGGAGAAAGGAATGCTTATCAGGAAGCCGATCAGTCTCCTTCCTGAGAATGCACTTAACAATGAGCATTAACCTAAATTACATGTCCATGTAATTACATACAGTGAAGGAAAGAAAAAAAAAATCCAACCTCCCACAGAAGTACGTACCATCAGACGGTCTCCCTGGCCTTTCCTGAAAGTATGTTTACAATCAAAAGACGAGGAACAAAAGTTGAAAGCAACCGTTCTCGGCTAATTACTGGTCGCAGGTTCTTTTTTTTTTTAGAGGATGACGGAAATTCACAGACGCTTGTCTCTACTCCAGAAGAGTTTCAGAACAAAGCCCCAGCTCCTGTCCAGGGTGTCCTGCAGTAGGCTAATCCAAGGCCACGGATATCATCCCAGGCTTTTTCATCCTGGAATGTGGACTTAATTACAATCATCTTCATCCAGCGCACACTAACACACTGCCATGATTCATTCATCGGTGACACAAAGTATGTCAATTATACAATGACTTAAAAAAAACAAAAGAAAAACATTAAAAAGTACAGACTGCTATTTGTTACTGATGTTTGTATTCCTGGGTATATTTTCAAGACACTTTGTTAATAGGTTCATATATATGGAAATATATATATATTTATAATATATATATATATGTAACTTTAGTCTGTGCAAGGAGGTAAAAGACAATCACTTGAATGTAGCTCTTTGCAACAACAGATCAGATGCCGAGTCTCTTGTGCATACACGTGCAGTTAAACATCACCTCGCCTTTCCCTCTAAGACCTCCAGTAGCAAACATACATATACACAAAATGTGAACCAGCATCCAGGAAGCATTCGTGGTGAGCACTGACGCATCTCCTCTCTTTCATGAACAACGAAGACTTGGCAACATTTTCTAGGATGGAACAAAAATGGTTTTTTTCTCTTTTCCCCTACACAATTTATACAAAAATAAAAAAATTAAAATTGTTCCACTGCCATTTGTATCTTTTACATTTGCACAGAGGTAGTGGCTGAATGCGTGAGAAAGGTGTGTGTGTGTGTGTGTGTGTGTGTGTGTGTGTGTGTGTGTGTGTGTGTGTGTGTGTGTGTGTGTGTGAGAGAGAGAGAGAGAAGTTGTGAGGAAGTGAGCAAAATGAAAAAGAACTGGATAAAATGTCTATAAAATGGTTTCTTTTCCGTCACCAGAGGATTTGTTTTCCTTTTTGTCAAAGAACAAAATATAATACTGCAATCACTTAAAAAAAGTAGTTCTTCATTTTATACATTTTATACAGTGTTCTCGTTTTTATGTTTTTTTGTTGCTTTTCTTTTCAGTTGGTAAAGGCATAAAATGAGAGAGCTCGCTGGCTCTAGGTTGGGCGAGGCAGGGCAATGTTGGCAGAGTTCAGTCCATGCCGAGGTCTATGCCAGGGGGTCGCTCATGTCCTCGTCAACCTGGGAGAGGAGCTCCTTCTTTTCATCAGTGCTCGCCAGAGAATTGCGGCTGTTGTGGGCACCCATGTACAGGGTGGCATACACTGGGTTCGTGAAGTTGGTGGGCTGCGGAGTGAAGAAAATTTCTCAGTGACTCAGGCAAAAGAAATGAAAAGATTTGGTATATTGTGAAAGAAGCAGTATTTTTCTTATTCAAATAGGCTCAGCTCGCATAAATAACAAGATGTTTCCCAGCTCAGTGCTGAAACCCTGGCAGACATTTGTGGTTTGTTATGTTTTCTGTGTTTGGTTATTTGTTTCTGAAAGTCTGGGCACTAATCATCTGCCCCCAACAAACCAGTAGGTGTATTTCCAGTGAAGAACTTGCAACTTCTTTTTAAGCACTCAGGACTTTATGGACAATTCCTCATTTGATGTTTTATGATTGTGGTGAAAAGTGTTTGAATATAGTGACCATGAGGGCTCCAGCATAAAAGCTTTATTCAGCTGCTCCCTTATTCACAGTGGATTTCCGTTCCTGACACCCCCAAGGGATTTTTGTCTCCAGCTGGGATTAAACTGGAGATTTTTTCACTTCTTAGGTGAATGTAAAAGAAATGGTATTTATATAGTGCCTTGTGCTTTTATCTGCTGAATGCATTCACACACACAGAGGTAACTCAGGGTTCAGTATCTTGCCCAAGCATTGATCTGTATACAAACCACTCGAGCCACAACGTGTAAACCATGAGACTATGGAGCCACTCATCAGAACTAAAGTATATGATTCACATAATTCTAACAATATTCATTCCAAAATTCATTACAGATGCCAGAAGTAAATACCATAACGACACCCACTGGTTTCCTAAGTCTTGCTTTAAAGCTTTTGCATTTGGACTGTGGTGATCTCGATGGCAAAAAACTGGATATAAATGTAGAAAAGTGATTACAGATCAGTCAAGACAGAAAACTGTTTTTCACTAGACGTCCAAAGGACAGGAATATATTGAGAAACCCAGCTACTTTCATCCAGTGTTCTTTAGATCACAAAGAAGGGTCTATTTACTGTCTATAATGACTCCACAACCAAAACCAATTCATTAAAAAAAAAAAAAAAACTCACAAAAGGACTCATAAATGTGGAAATATCTGCATGGTTAGACACTACCAGGCATTTTCAGATATTTTGTAATGAAACTGCTTTTTTAAGCTTTGTTACCTTGTCTGGGTCTAAAGCAAAGTCGGACTCCAGAAGTTCCCCAGCATCATCATCAGGATCTCCTTCATAGATCTTATAGGCAGGGTTTCCAATCTCAACATTCATGGCCCCGTTGGTCATTCGGTGGTGCTGGAAGCCCTTGGCACTGCAGAGAAACAGATCAACAATTATCTTAGAAGCAGATTCAGACCCTTGTTTAAAAGAATTGATGTGCTAACCTCAGAAGAAAGCTAGAGTGACTAAAAGGTGTCTTATCATAAACCCATATCATAAATTCACTCAGCACTGGCTATGTACAATTGACAAGAACAAGACAACATATATCAAAGGTTTTCAAATGAGCTTTTGTGTCAAAAGGCCATTTGATCAAACCTATCGAATATACTGCAGCATGTCCATTGCGGAGAATGCTGGATTAGATTGCAAATATTCGGCTGTTTGCAAGCATATAAACATTTTTCAGAGATGCACAGTTATACATTTTACTCTGCAAGCACATTGCCTGAGCCTAATATTTACAAATGTAAACAGGGAAAGGCATGGAGGACAATGGGAGGACGTCAAAAGTTCAACTACTCGTGCATCACCAGAGCTATTCCAGAGTGAGTAGGCCCCCTGTGTTGTTGGGTGGGAAACCCCATGGAAGCCAAACAGAAGATGGCAAGCGAGGACAATGGAAAGATTTCGGCACTGAACGACAGAATGGACAAAAGGATAGACAAAAGCATAGCAAAGGCAGTCTGACTGTATTTTAGGGAAAGGAGAAGAGAGGAATTGGGGGTCAACAGGTGAATTATGTAACCCTATCAAGTTACCGCGAGCACTGAGAACGAGATTTGCCCGGGCATAGAGACCTGGGAGACAGGGAAATAGATGGTTATCAAAAGGTAAGAGAGAAAGAAAGACCAGAACGGTGAGGACCAGATGACAAATGGAGTTTGAATTTTTTAAAGATGAAAAAGCGTCCCGAACTAGTACTCACCCACGCATTCTCTGCTTGTACCACAAGATGGCACCAACCACCAGCAATGCCAGCAACAGCAGCAGCAGCACTGGGACGATGATTGACGCAGTACCTATGAGTGAACAAATAATGATAAGCAAATAGGACCAAAGTGCATGTTCTATGAACAAACTTTGATTTGGTCAGGGAGTGGCTGACTTACTACCACTAGAAGTATGAGACTCTATAGGAGCTGTGATATCACATCTGTATCCCCTCCATCCAACAGCACACCTGGTTATAGAGGTACACAGTGGATATGTGGGTAAGTGTGCTAAGCGGACATTAAAACAATAAAATATTATATATATGCCTGTTAATGTCTACTGGGATCTTACGTGCACTGTGGCAGCAGTGTGCGATTGTCTACTGAACACTGTCCATGTGCGCAGTAGTTTGAACAGGTATAGCAGCTGGGTTGGATCTGACCATTTGGACAGCTTCAAACATACAGGAAAAAAATATTAAAGAAGATCCTAATGCAGCAGAATAACAATAATAATAATGATTCCCACGATTTCAGAATGATATATTCCATGCTGTGCACTGTTAGGAAGCACAAAATCCACAGATTGCTGGGTGACCTTGGGTGAAGAATATTCTGGCAGTTCAAAATAAAAGCCAGCAAATATTTACAAATCCAAGTCTAATCGATGTAGCACAGTAACCACGTCCCACACGATACTCACCTGCAGGAAACCTCCCCTGAGGCTGACGTCAAACATTTGCCCGTTCCGCAGAACTGACATTTGTCCAGCTCACACTGGTGCCCGACGTACTTGGTGGGGCACAGACAAAGTTTGGTGCCGTTGGAGGTCTGTAAGCAGGTTCCACCATTCTCGCAGAAGCCTTAAGACAGCAAAGAAAGAGAAGAGTGGCAACGGACCGGTAACCCATAACAACGCATGTAAACGCATGGCAACGGACAGTTAACCCATAACAACGCATGTAAACGCATGGCAACGGACAGTTAACCCATAACAACACATGTAAACGCATGGCAACGGACAGTTAACGCATGGCAACGGACAGTTAACCCATGGCAACGGTCAGGTAACCCATGGCAACAGACCGGTTACCATGGCAACGGACCGGTTACCATGGCAGCGGACCGGTTACCATGGCAACGGACCGGTAACCCATGGCAACGGACCGGTTACCATGGCAACGGACCGGTTACCCATGGCAACGGACAGTTAACCCATAACAACGCATGTAAACGCATGGCAACGGACAGTTAATGCACGGCAACGGACAGTTAACCCATGGCAACGGTCATATAACCCATGGCAACGGACAGTTAACCCATAACAACGCATGTAAACGCATGGCAACGGACAGTTAACCCATAACAACGCATGTAAATGCATGGCAACGGACAGTTAACGCATGGCAACGGACAGTTAACCCATGGCAACGGTCATATAACCCATGGCAACGGACAGTTAACCCATAACAACGCATGTAAACGCATGGCAACGGACAGTCAACCAATAACAACACATGTAAACGCATGGCAACGGACAGTTAACCCATAACAACGCATGTAAACGCATGGCAACGGACAGTTAACCAATAACAACACATGTAAACGCATGGCAACGGACAGTTAACGCATGGCAACGGACAGTTAACCCATGGCAACGGTCAGGTAACCCATGGCAACGGACCGGTTACCCCATGGCAACAGACCGGTTACCATGGCAACGGACCGGTTACCATGGCAGCGGACCGGTAACCCATGGCAACGGTCATATAACCCATGGCAACGGACAGTTAACCAATAACAACACATGTAAACGCATGGCAACGGAGAGTTAACGCATGGCAACGGACAGTTAACCCATGGCAACGGTCAGGTAACCCATGGCAACGGACAGGTTGCCATGGCAACGGACCGGTAGCCATGGCAACGGACCGGTTACCATGGCAACGGACCGGTAACCCATGGCAACGGTCATATAACCCATGGCAACGGACAGTTAACCAATAACAACACATGTAAACGCATGGCAACGGACAGTTAACGCATGGCAACGGACAGTTAACCCATAACAACGCATGTAAACGCATGGCAACGGACAATTAACCCATAACAACGCATGTAAACGCATGGCAACGGACAGTTAACGCATGGCAACGGACAGTTAACCCATGGCAACGGTCATATAACCCATGGCAACGGACAGTTAACCCATAACAACGCATGTAAACGCATGGCAACGGACATTTAACCCATAACAACACATGTAAACACATGGCAACGGACAGTTAACGCATGGCAACGGACAGTTAACCCATGGCAACGGTCAGGTAACCCATGGCAACGGACAGGTTGCCATGGCAACGGACCGGTTGCCATGGCAACGGACCGGTTACCATGGCAACGGACCGGTAACCCATGGCAACGGACCGGTTACCATGGCAACGGACCGGTAACCCATGGCAACGGACAGTTAACCCATAACAACGCATGTTAACGCATGGCAACGGACATTTAACCCATAACAACGCATGTAAACGCATGGCAACGGACAGATAACGCATGGCAACGGACAGTTAACCCATGGCAACGGTCATATAACCCATGGCAACGGACAGTTAACCCATAACAACGCATGTAAACACATGGCAACGGACAGTTAACCCATAACAACGCATGTAAACGCATGGCAAAGGACAGTTAACCAATAACAACACATGTAAACGCATGGCAACGGACAGTTAACGCATGGCAACGGACAGTTAACCCATGGCAACGGTCAGGTAACCCATGGCAACGGACCGGTTACCATGGCAACGGACCGGTTGCCATGGCAACGGACTGGTTACCATGGCAACGGACCGGTAACCCATGGCAACGGACCGGTTACCATGGCAACGGACCGGTAACCCATGGCAACGGACAGTTAACCCATAACAACGCATATAAACGCATGGCAACGGACAGTTAACCCATGGCAACGGTCATATAACCCATGGCAACGGACAGTTAACCCATAACAACGCATGTTAACGCATGGCAACGGACATTTAACCCATAACAACACATGTAAACGCATGGCAACGGACAGTTAACGCATGGCAACGGACAGTTAACGCATGGCAACGGACAGTTAACCCATGGCAACGGTCATATAACCCATGGCAACGGACAGTTAACCCATAACAACGTATGTTAACGCATGGCAACGGACATTTAACCTATAACAACGCATGTAAACCCATGGCAACGGACAGTTAACCCATGGCAACGGACAGTTAACCCATAACAACGCATGTAAACGCATGGCAACGGACAGTCAACCAATAACAACACATGTAAACGCATGGCAACGGACAGTTAACCCATGGCAACGGTCAGGTAACCCATGGCAACGGACCGGTTACTATGGCAACGGACCGGTTGCCATGGCAACGGACCGGTAACCCATGGCAACGGACCGGTTACCATGGCAACGGACCGGTAACCCCTGGCAACGGACAGTGAACCCATAACAATGCATGTAAACGCATGGCAACAGACAGTTAACCCATAACAACGCATGTAAACGCATGGCAACGGACAGTTAACCCATAACAACGCATGTAAACGCATGGCAACGGACAGATAACCCATGGCAACTGACAGTTAACCCATAACAACGCATGTAAACGCATGGCAACGGACAGTTAACGCATGGCAACGGTCATATAACCCATGGCAACGGACAGTTAACCCATAACAACGCATGTAAACGCATGGCAACGGACAGTTAACCAATAACAACACATGTAAACTCATGGCAACGGACAGTTAACGCATGGCAACGGACAGTTAACCCATGGCAACGGTCAGGTAACCCATGGCAATGGACCGGTTACCATGGCAACGGACCGGTTGCCATGGCAACGGACCGGTTACCATGGCAACGGACCGGTAACCCATGGCAACGGACCGGTTACCATGGCAACGGACCGGTAACCCATGGCAACGGACAGTTAACCCATAACAACGCATGTAAACGCATGGCAACGGACAGTTAACCCATAACAACGCATATAAACGCATGGCAACGGACAGATAACCCATGGCAACGGACAGTAAACCCATAACAACGCATGTAAACGCATGGCAACGGACAGTTAACGCATGGCAACGGACAGTTAACCCATGGCAACGGTCATATAACCCATGGCAACGGACAGTTAACCCATAACAACGCATGTAAACGCATGGCAACGGACAGTTAACCCATAACAACGCATGTAAACGCATGGCAACGGACAGATAACCCATGGCAACGGACAGTAAACCCATAACAACGCATGTAAACGCATGGCAACGGACAGTTAACGCATGGCAACGGACAGTTAACCCATGGCAACGGTCATATAACCCATGGCAACGGACAGTTAACCCATAACAACGCATGTTAACGCATGGCAACGGACATTTAACCCATAACAACGCATGTAAACGCATGGCAACGGACAGTTAACGCATGGCAACGGACAGTTAACCCATGGCAACGGTCAGGTAACCCATGGCAACGGACCGGTTACCATGGCAACGGACCGGTAACCCATGGCAACGGAACGGTTTCCATGGCATCGGACCGGTTACCATGGCAACGGACCGGTAACCCATGGCAACGGACAGTTAACCCATAACAACGCATGTAAACGCATGGCAACGGACAGTTAACCCATAACAACGCATGTAAACGCATGGCAAAGGACAGTTAACCAATAACAACACATGTAAACGCATGGCAACGGACAGTTAACGCATGGCAACGGACAGTTAACCCATGGCAACGGTCAGGTAACCCATGGCAACGGACCGGTTACCATGGCAACGGACCGGTTGCCATGGCAACGGACCGGTAACCCATGGCAACGGACCGGTTACCATGGCAACGGACCGGTAACCCATGGCAACGGACAGTTAACCCATAACAACGCATGTAAACGCATGGCAACGGACAGTTAACCCATAACAACGCATGTAAACGCATGGCAACGGACCGTTAACCCATAACAAGGCATGTAAACGCATGGCAACGGACTGATAACCCGTGGCAACGGACAGTTAACCCATAACAACGCATGTAAACGCATGGCAACGGACAGTTAACCCATGGCAACGGTCATATAACCCATGGCAACGGACAGTTAACCCATAACAACGCATGTAAACGCATGGCAACGGACAGTTAACCAATAACAACGCATGTTAACCCATGGCAACGGACAGTTAACCCATGGCAACGGACCGGTTACCATGGCAACGGACCGGTTACCCATGGCAACGGACAGTTAACCCATAACAACGCATGTAAACGCATGGCAACGGACAGATAACCCATGGCAACGGACAGTTAACCCATAACAACGCATGTAAACGCATGGCAACGGACAGTTAACGCATGGCAACGGACAGTTAACCCATGGCAACGGTCATATAACCCATGGCAACGGACCGTTAACCCATAACAACGCATGTAAACGCATGGCAACGGACAGTTAACCCATAACCAACGTATGTAAACGCATGGCAACGGACAGTTAACCCATAACAACGCATGTAAACGCATGGCAACGCATGGCAACGGACAGTTAACCCATAACAACACATGTAAATGCATGGCAACAGACAGGTAACCCATGGCAACGGACCGGTTACCATGGCAACGGACCGGTAACCCATGGCATCCTCACCCCTTCCTGTTACGTGTTGCATGTTGTCCATTGTTTATTTACCTCTCACCAGTCGGCAGCGTCCGCCATGTTTGTCTGTGCTAAATGTCATCTGCGGTGTGCTCAACAGCTATTTGGTCAACAGGCTCTAGAAGAAAACAGAATCAAACTTACGTGAACACAGTCTGTATCCACACTTTTGTTTCCTCTGTGACAGCCATCCTGTTTGGTAATCTGCAAACTCAAGAGCTTGTTGACCACTGTATCGTAACCAGAGTGGTTACTTTGTAACGTCATCATTGTTTAGTGTTACTGATTTGCCAAAATCACCGTCTCAAAGCCTTGAATTTCTCCGTTTTGAAGCACAACTTCTAGCAGTTGAAATACAAGGCTATGGGAATGTGGCATTCCTGCCACATTTGCTAATTTTGTAGCTCTTATGGACAATTTCAGCTTTAACCCAAAGTTTTAACTGCACAAGTGTTTCCAGATTTTCTGGATTTGAAAATTATAACAATAAACACTCAGTTGTCAGTTTATTAGGGAGCTCAAACTAATGCAGACTAACAACAGTCCTGCAATAAAGGCAACTTTTCATAGTTTCATCTTCATTGTAAAAAAGAGGAAATATGGTTTGTGGTGCTGTTTTCATGTACTGCGTTATACAGTAAGGTGTTCCTATTTGCTTTTCTTTTTTTAGCTTAACCTCATTTACAGAAATGAGGGAACAACTGATATAAATTAGGTGTACCTAATAAAGTGAGAACTGAGTGTACATCCTCTGCTCTTCTTGCTTAAAAACACTCTTAAGAAATTGAGATGTAAACAGAAGCAAATGTCCAGATTGACCTCTTGGTCGTCTAACATGTGTGTCCCCCTGTCTCTCACCCCCCCTCTCCATGCCTACTCACAGATCTCCGAAACCAGCCTTTCCTGCGAGCGGACGCGTTGATCCGGAGCGGTTGGAAGAGACCCTAAACCACTTATTCGTCACTTATAGTCCCCTCCCTATTGTAACCCTTCCCTTTGTCCCAGTGGCGCATCTCAACCCTGAGGCTGCAGATCACAAAGACTGAAAAGCGAGGACAGGACAAAGCCCTTGTTTTAGCCCGGTAATTTATTTATTTATGGATGCCCTTTTACAACCACTTTAAATGAGCAGGCATGATTACAGAAGCACAACGCGCTACTACTCCTTCGTCACCGCGAGCAGAAGGCTTTCCCTGCTCTGTCGGCACTGACCTTTGGGAGGATGACCAGAGCACAGGTGAGGCCATCTGAGGACTGGAGGAGGAATTGTGCTTTCACTAACAAGTGCCTGCTAGCATGTGGATCTTAATGTGGACATTCCTAAAACCCATTAATATCCGAAGGTTACGCAGTCATAGCAGGATTTAAACTGGGAGGCAGCCAAGATAAATTGCCGACTCTTCTGCTGCTGCTGGGACGCCTGCCTTTAAGACACCTGCAAAAGCCTCCTGCAAATAACAGAGGAGGTGCGATGTTATAACAGACATTCGTGGACTGTTTCGCAGCGTTACGCCAAGTCTTCGAGACGCCTTCAATCAGACTTAATATTGTTTATTTTGATTGTATCTGGGAGCAAAGACCATCACTGTACTGGTTCTTCTTGTCAAGCTAGACAAACCAAATTAATCCAAAGTTTGATGTTCCGCTTAAGAAGTGCCTTTTTGTGTTATTTCTCGTCAGTCAGCCATAATTTGTTTATTTTACATCTTTCATTTGGTAAAGATTGTATTTTTTACCGCCTTGTAATATAACATTAGCCTTATAATCCTGACAACAATATGCAAGTTGAAGGCACAAAAAAAGCTTAAAGGTATGTTAGTTCCTTTTTACCTCTAGTACATCAGAACAGCTGACACGAGAGTCCCCAGAGTTTTGTGCCTTGACCAAGTGGTGGTTAAAAACAGAATATTACGTGCCTTGACAACACTTCCTGTCACACCGTGCGTGACAGTTAGGAGGTGACAGACGCATGAAGGAGACTCCAGGTGGACTACTGTTTCAAAGGCACACTTGCTGTTTGGTTAGCCTGCTCTAAATGTATTATTAACAGATGAAGGATTAAGTGCATTTAAAGCTTCTTTTTCTTATCCGTTTTAATACAGATTATTCCTCCTAACAGCTTTAGAGACTTGCATGACATTGGCACAAAGGGAGCAATACATCTTAACACTACTTAAATTTGGCTCAAGATTGTATAAAACACTATTCTTGTGTGTACTGAAATCAAAAGAAACATACTTTTTTTTTTTAAGAAAAAGCTATTCTTGGGATTGTCTGTTGACTGAAAGACAACACTTCCTGTTTAATAAATATGATGATTTATGTAACAAGACCAAAGACTTTCATTACAATTCAGAAGCCTTTCCAGATTAAGCAACATCCAAACAAGTGCTTTCTACATGTTTGTGTTTTATTTCTTCATTCTTTAATGATAAGTGAGGCTATTTCCTAATGTACTGAAGTATGAAGTAGACTGCTTCTCCTCTCCATCTTTCCAAATGACAGACACGGCCATCGTACATTTCTACTATAAAAATCCATTTAATTCCTTATATCAAAAAGAAATCGAATTATAACAAACAATCAGAACCACAAACGTGGGTTTTTGCCAGTTAAAGAAATTCTCCAAATGAAATATGATTGTTCCAACTTACATGGCGATTTAACAGAGCAGGATGTTAAAAGCAAATAAGCAAGAAAAAAAAACAGAATTTAAAGAAAAAATGTGATGAATACTGTTAACATTTGAGGACTAAAGCCAGAGTTTCCTCTTGGTTAAGTGTGTCTGTGTGTGTGTGAGCACCATGCAGTGATATGGTAGGTATGGCTGACAAGCTGAGGTGATTAAAAGCAATACGGTGAGCAGTGAGACATACAGCCACACTTCCCAGACTAAAAATCCGGATGGTTAGCAGCAAAGCAAAGGAATGGAGAAAGGAATGCTTATCAGGAAGCCGATCAGTCTCCTTCCTGAGAATGCACTTAACAATGAGCATTAACCTAAATTACATGTCCATGTAATTACATACAGTGAAGGAAAGAAAAAAAAAATCCAACCTCCCACAGAAGTACGTACCATCAGACGGTCTCCCTGGCCTTTCCTGAAAGTATGTTTACAATCAAAAGACGAGGAACAAAAGTTGAAAGCAACCGTTCTCGGCTAATTACTGGTCGCAGGTTCTTTTTTTTTTAGAGGATGACCGGAAATTCACAGACGCTTGTCTCTACTCCAGAAGAGTTTCAGAACAAAGCCCCAGCTCCTGTCCAGGGTGTCCTGCAGTAGGCTAATCCAAGGCCACGGATATCATCCCAGGCTTTTTCATCCTGGAATGTGGACTTAATTACAATCATCTTCATCCAGCGCACACTAACACACTGCCATGATTCATTCATCGGTGACACAAAGTATGTCAATTATACAATGACTTAAAAAAACAAAAGAAAAACATTAAAAAGTACAGACTGCTATTTGTTACTGATGTTTGTATTCCTGGGTATATTTTCAAGACACTTTGTTAATAGGTTCATATATATGGAAATATATATATTTATAATATATATATATATGTAACTTTAGTCTGTGCAAGGAGGTAAAAGACAATCACTTGAATGTAGCTCTTTGCAACAACAGATCAGATGCCGAGTCTCTTGTGCATACACGTGCAGTTAAACATCACCTCGCCTTTCCCTCTAAGACCTCCAGTAGCAAACATACATATACACAAAATGTGAACCAGCATCCAGGAAGCATTCGTGGTGAGCACTGACGCATCGCCTCTCTTTCATGAACAACAAAGACTTGGCAACATTTTCTAGGATGGAACAAAAATGGTTTTTTTCTCTTTTCCCCTACACAATTTATACAAAAATAAAAAAATTAAAATTGTTCCACTGCCATTTGTATCTTTTACATTTGCACAGAGGTAGTGGCTGAATGCGTGAGAAAGGTGTGTGTGTGTGTGTGTGTGTGTGTGTGTGTGTGTGTGTGTGTGTGTGTGAGAGAGAGAGAAGTTGTGAGGAAGTGAGCAAAATGAAAAAGAACTGGATAAAATGTCTATAAAATGGTTTCTTTTCCGTCACCAGAGGATTTGTTTTCCTTTTTGTCAAAGAACAAAATATAATACTGCAATCACTTAAAAAAAGTAGTTCTTCATTTTATACATTTTATACAGTGTTCTCGTTTTTATGTTTTTTTGTTGCTTTTCTTTTCAGTTGGTAAAGGCATAAAATGAGAGAGCTCGCTGGCTCTAGGTTGGGCGAGGCAGGGCAATGTTGGCAGAGTTCAGTCCATGCCGAGGTCTATGCCAGGGGGTCGCTCATGTCCTCGTCAACCTGGGAGAGGAGCTCCTTCTTTTCATCAGTGCTCGCCAGAGAATTGCGGCTGTTGTGGGCACCCATGTACAGGGTGGCATACACTGGGTTCGTGAAGTTGGTGGGCTGCGGAGTGAAGAAAATTTCTCAGTGACTCAGGCAAAAGAAATGAAAAGATTTGGTATATTGTGAAAGAAGCAGTATTTTTCTTATTCAAATAGGCTCAGCTCGCATAAATAACAAGATGTTTCCCAGCTCAGTGCTGAAACCCTGGCAGACATTTGTGGTTTGTTATGTTTTCTGTGTTTGGTTATTTGTTTCTGAAAGTCTGGGCACTAATCATCTGCCCCCAACAAACCAGTAGGTGTATTTCCAGTGAAGAACTTGCAACTTCTTTTTAAGCACTCAGGACTTTATGGACAATTCCTCATTTGATGTTTTATGATTGTGGTGAAAAGTGTTTGAATATAGTGACCATGAGGGCTCCAGCATAAAAGCTTTATTCAGCTGCTCCCCTTATTCACAGTGGATTTCCGTTCCTGACACCCCCAAGGGATTTTTGTCTCCAGCTGGGATTAAACTGGAGATTTTTTCACTTCTTAGGTGAATGTAAAAGAAATGGTATTTATATAGTGCCTTGTGCTTTTATCTGCTGAATGCATTCACACACACAGAGGTAACTCAGGGTTCAGTATCTTGCCCAAGCATTGATCTGTATACAAACCACTCGAGCCACAACGTGTAAACCATGAGACTATGGAGCCACTCATCAGAACTAAAGTATATGATTCACATAATTCTAACAATATTCAT